CTCTTTAACGTGATGCATGCGATATTATCATTTGTGTATGTTGGCTAATATGGCACGTGAGAATTGAATTTTTCATACATGCCCACAGTTTACATGTGTATTATTTTTTAATTTAGCCAGAAGAAGGGGCGTAGAAGTGACTTTAGTGTGGTTGGGAACACGTGATTTAAACAGCATCCATTAAAGGACTGCAAGAATTAACTTGTGTTATCAGTTCTAATTTAATCAGATCGTTGCATAGAATTTTTGTGCCTGGGTCAGAGACCCTCCAAAGAAGATTAAGCACAAAAACATTGTAAGACTATCTGTCATAAAATTAAAATAATTATGATGATATATAATGTATAATTTCCCATTGAAAATATCACAGAGGAAGTGGGATTTCCTACTGTTTTGTTACCCGACAGGCCTTTTCACAGTAGCAGCTTAAAATTACGGCCTCTGATCATTTGCAACTATCACACTGGTGGTGAGTGGCTTTATAGCTTCCTGAATAATGGGCCTGTGCAGTACGCGCGTTGAAAAATATTGTTTTTAGTCATGAAGGCTTGATTTTGTACACACAGTTTTACAAAATTGTAGTTTAATGAAGGGAGAGTGTTTACAAATATCAGAGCCTTTGTTGAGAATATAGTAACAGGAAACTTGACTGTGTGCTTTTTCAGGTTTTGGAGAAGTGTATCTCGTCCAGAAGAGCTGCGGGGTGGACGATGGTACACTCTATGCCATGAAGGCGATGGATATTAAAGAAATTATGTCTTTGAAAGATGGCTGCGAACAGTATCGCACTGAACGTGGTTTACTTGTGAAGGGTCTGGAGGCTCCATTCCTGGTGGGTCTGTATTATGCCTTCCAGACAAAAACGAAGTTCTGCCTCGTGCAAGGTGAGTACATAAAAAACTATTGTTGACTCTGCGTTATTTGAAATGTGAAGTAAACAATACAGCGATGCGAAGTGTAGAGTAAGAGAGAAAAGTTAGCAGAACATGTCACAAACACAGTAGTTTCATTATTTTAAATAGGCACATATTACAACATAGAAAGTCTTTTGATAGGCCCTTTAGGCGAGCTACAGGACTAATTAAAGCTGTAATCACAAGCTTAGTATAATTTCCGTGGGGCATTACCTTCTTTCTGTGTTTCGAAGTATCAGGAGGTATGTCTGCATCATGGAATCTTTACAGTATCAAATCATGAATTACCAATCATGTGCCTATCTTACTTCTAACCCCCTTCTTTAATAAATTAGAGGTTATGTAGAATAGATTAAGCCCTTACATGCAGACAAGGAATGTATTAGTCCCTGAGGAGTCAGGCTTTAGAAAACGTTTAACCACCAAAAATGCAGGATTCAACCTAGCAATGTGTTAAAATGCATTTGTCAAGAAATGCGTGCATGAAGAGTACTTTGTCTGTTACTGGTGGAATATTCCATTGTCAGTTTGTAAACTATCGTTCTGTTTTCAGTCTTGTGCAGAGCGTCATTTGGCAGTAACACTGTTTTATACATGAATATACAACACAGTAGTTTGCACTGTCATAGGTGGAGAGCGAGGTAGTGAAACTCAAAATGGGGAACAGTGGCGCTCAGAGTCCCAAGGTGTAAATTATAGCGTTTTACTCTTCATAAGTTACATCAGTTAAGTTTCATTAAACATAAAACTTATCAGAATGCATAATTCTTGCTGATGATGCAATTGTTGTAATCCAACTGCAGTTCTCTGCAATAAAATGTATAACAAGGCACTATAAAACCTGCTTGATTGATTGCGTGGCTACAGAATTTTTTAATTTCATTCGATACGTCATTTATTCTCTACATACCAATCATTTATAATTTCTGTGGGAAAAGTCTCAAGTACTAACAAAGTATAGTAGCGATGATCACGTAATTCTTGCGAATAATTCTTTCAGGTTTAATAGGGGCATATTTGATTAGCATTGTCATGTTTATGTCGTCAATGACAGATTTCTTCTGTACAATAATTGGTTGCCATGGAACTTGTGCGATACTAACTTTTAGCATAATAATATGATGTTGTATGCTCCCATGAGACAATCCGTACTTTCAAAAACTGTTGTGAGAAACTAAACGAGAGAATTGTTTTAATAGTCTAATGCCCCTCTGGATACAGACATTTCCATTTTCACCTTCCTGTGAAGTCCCAGAGTCTGTAAACACTACTTTTGAAGCAGGGATAAAAGTTTGGAAGATTTAACAGGTTCATCATCTGAACAAGAACAGATAACTAAAAATTAATAACATCAAAATGGAGCAAACAATTGAATATTCTGGAGAGCATCCCCCTTTGACTCATATGAGTTATTATATTTGTACGTGGGATTAATGGCAAACCATACGCTAATAGGTTCTGTTTCACTTTTGTTAGTTTCTTGTTCTCTTTCTACTCGTCTCCTTCGTAAGTTCTAAATTCTAACATGTGTCTCTTTCTGTACATATTTTGTGTGAAGTGCAGAACTATGCCAATATATTACATTCAGTATTGTATTCTTGACTCTTATCATATCAACAGAATCTGAAAGATAATGTGGAATCTGTACTCAGACTAGTGTACAATATTAATTTTCAAAGTAAATGAAATTGGAGGGGTGGGCGGTGGTAAAGCTGAATGTTTGCCTAGTGCCTGATACACCTTCATCCCTGCTCTGTGCACACAAGCAACATTTTAGATCCTCACTCATAATCATGGTTGAAGCCACAGCTACAGTTGAGATTGGTTGGCGTTAGTGGTATTTAATTGTATCAATAACAGTAATAAACGTGACAGCTTAGTTCCGGTGATATGTAACAGAAAATCAAAGTACTGAAACTGCATCTCATGACCACAATAAGAATGCAAGATGTACCATATTTTATCCCCTCTGTCCAAGGATTTATTTGTTAATTTGTTTCTTTCAGCTAAGAGTCATACACCGAGACCTGAAACTGCGAAATATATTAGTAGACGCTCAAGGCCACATTGCTGTAGCAGATTACGGCCTATGCAAAGATTTTGCCTGGTATAAAAAGGTAAATGTTATATCCACCTCATCTTTTGTTCAGTGTGCGTACAAAGACACACAGACTGTAAATGTTAGCGCTATGTGGACCGCTGTCCATCAGACAGGGAAGTCAAGTATGAGCCCTGTAAAGAGTTGACAGGTTTCAGGTGCCTTAAATTTGACACAGTGTGTGTTTGTGTACAGTGTAACTAAAAGATGTCACAAGGCCTGTGAATTTGAGGAGGTAAACTTGAAGTGTATAAATATTATGCCTACATCTCTACTGGAGTTTTGTAAGTAGTTGCTGTTATTCTATTCGGAAGCCATTAACATCTTGCCTAGTATACCCAGAATTAAAGATCTAAGATACTTAAACGTGTTCTGTGCTTAGAAGAAAGAAAGTCAGGTGCAAGTGTTTTAATAAAAGGGTAATATTGGATACTGAAAGGGATAATACAAATTTCTTCTTCTCCTTCCTCCTCTTCAGTTCGCACTACAGTCCTTGGTGGACCCTTGTCTCCTTAGTTTAAATATTACATGAAGAAAAATTTGTGGTACATACAGCCTGCTGAGTAGCGTCACAGTTAAAGGATATTACTTATGATGGGTGGGATGTGTAGAGAGAGAAGAAATGATGCAGAGTATTGGTAGGAAAATCTCTTGGAAAATGACAGTTTCAAAAACCATTAAGGAAAACAGAGCATAGCATTGGGAGGGATTTTACAAAATTGTATTATGATGGTAGGAGGTGAATGGAAGCCGCTCAGGACATTTTCAATGGTGGTCTTCACTTTTAGACACGATAAATTTTTCTTTCTGTTATCAGACACTTTTTAGTTGTTTTGTGTACCTAATTCTTCTCACCCTTACTCAAAGTGTTGTTTCCTTCCTCAGGGTGATCGTGCATATTCAGTGTGTGGCACAAAACAGTACATGGCACCAGAGATGATCATCGGCAAAGGCTACAGCTATGTAAGTTTCTTATCTGTTAACAATCTGATAATAACAAGCTCTTGGTTTTATGTAACTCGACCTAACATATGATTAATGTAAAGTAACAAGAAAACAAATTATAATAATGTGAGGGTTTGGAGCCACAAGTAGTAACTTCATGGAGTTTGTAAGGACACGTGCATAAACTAGTCGGTATACGTGATAGGAGGCCGAAGCATTGAACTGAATGCGGTGCAGTCAGCTGGCTGGCGTCTGGCATGATGACATGCATTTTTATCATACACATTACACCCAAAAACAGAAAGAAAATGTAATGGCTGTCACCAAACTTGATGCTTGAAGGCAATGGCTTCATATCCCTTATGACACAGCTCCATGGCATGGGTATGAGAGGTAAATGCATTTGAGTAGTTTAATTGATCAATTTTTCATGACCTGCATTTCACATGTTTAATGAGGGCGCTGTGAGTGGCTTGGCAGTTAAATTAATTATATTCAGTTTCTGTCAATACAATAAGGAATTCGAGGGTGACTGTAGCCAATTCTTCCAAGTTCTGGCAAAGTGGAAGCCACTGTTGTCATATACACAGCATCCTGCTGTACCCCCAAGAGAATCCTCTAAGGGGAGGAAGATCATACACACAACGTGGCCAAGTCATGTTCCCCCCCTCGCCAATAAAATTCTCTGGAGATTTGCAATTTGAGTTGTCTATCAGTGCCTTGTGAAAATGTGGAGGCATTCTGTCTTGTCGCAGCAGCTTTTCAGTAGGACATTCTTCTTCCGAAATTGGCACGACAAATTCTTCTGCTTACGATTACACTTTAAATTTGTTCGTATAAGTTTTTCAAATGAATTTAGTTCATATTCCTTTGCCTCTCGGTTCACAAGCGTTGAAATAGCATATATTTCATGTGCACATTCTTTGTGTGAGCGGTTCTTGTCCTGAAACAAAGAGCGATATTTGCGAAAACTTGTTGCAGTAAACAGTATTGATGGAGTGACAGGCCAGAAGATATCTTCATCTGTATCTAAAATTTGAAACCTATTTGAAATTTCAACTTGATATTGTTCCTTTGCCTCTCCCTCACTTAATTTTTTCAAATCAAATCTTTCTGTGTCGAAATTTTGCTTAGTTCGCCTACTTATTGAAAGCCGCTTCCTCACTTTTGCTACCACCAGATAATGATCAGTGTCACAATCTGCTCCTCTGAATGACCACACATCAATTACATTTGTCTGCCTTCTATTAACTACTAACACATGATGTATTTGATTGTGTGTGCTCCCATCTGGAGAAGTCCAAGTGTATTTATGAACATCACGGTGTGGAAATTTTGTACTTTTTACAATTAAATCTTTTGACGTACCGAAGTTGAAGAATATTCTTTAATTAAGCAGATATATAATGATTTTCATTTTTATATGCTGCTTTGTTAGACTTTTAAATAAAAAACCGTTTTAAGAACTACTTAAATTTTCTCGCCATTTTTGACACTCATATTCATTTAACACCACGAACATGGAATTAAAGGTTTATTTGCACATTATCTATTTCGCATTTGGCTTGTTCTCCTCAGAGACTAAATTCTCAGCGCCTGGCCCCACGCTCTTCGTTGTATTGTATCCGTGAATACCGTGCCACTACTAGGGCGCACTGCCGTCAGACGCATGCACGAATTGTAAATATATATTCGAATTTTGAGCAATTTTTTCGCACCCTTGCACAGCGTATCAGCAGCTGAAATTTTGTGTACAATCATTACTAGATGGGCTCTGTAGACGAGCAAAATTTCAAGTGAGGTTTCGGCATGACCAACCTAACCATTCCCTTGTTAGATACACAGTACACACTCTTACCACCTTCGATACTATCTTGGCACATTTGTCGCAAGAGTTATTCAGTAATGTCCGGTGTGAGAAATGTGGTCCAACTCAGCCCTAAAACTAGACGTGACATACGAGGCGCGTCCCAAAAGTAAGTTTGCACAGGCGGAATGGGACGCCCGGTGCGAGGCTCGCACTGTGTGATAAGGTCGGGGAAGCACCCAGTTCGATCATGAGGTACTGCGTAGCGAAACACGTGATCCCAAAGCTTACGCCTGGTGGAGAGGCTAGGGGCTTTCTATGTCTCGAGAGGCGTGATGACGCTGAGACAAGGGCGTGTTTGAATCTCTGTGAGGTTCGAACAGATTAGCAGACCATAAAGGAACTTGGTCGCTAATAAAGTGTCTGATCGGTCGTAAAGGAACTTGATCTTTCAGCTTCTGATCGCTGACCATAAAGGAATTTGGTCGTTCAGAAAGGTAATGGAAGTTTGGAGGGGACACGGCAACATACGTATCGTGTATTGAAGTTAACTGGGTGTTATGTGTAAAAGAGTGGTGTGACCGTGTTTGTGTATAGGTGGCGACTGACTTGTAACATTTGCCTGTAATGTAACGTGTTACAAATCGAGCATTACACAAGTGAAGACAGCGAATATGATGTGTAGTAGTAAGAGTGTTGCATTATCTGAGTTGTTTGTGTTGTGGTGCTTTGTTCCAGAATGATGTGAGGTATGATGCATCTGTCTGTTTTATTAGAAAAATTTCTGAACAGTGTGGAAAAATGCTGCACACACAACACAGTAAACAGCCTTCACTCCTAATAAGATAGATGCATCATTGTACAATGACTTACCACAACTCAGGTAAGGTAATACTTGACTACTCCACATCATATACATATACGTAAATATAACATTTACTAATTTAAACATTTTTGTTTACAGATCAAAAACACAATGGACTTGAAGATTGCTGTCTTCTGGGCTTTAGAGGAGTATAGTCTGGTAGAAGATTACCAATGTTTCAGAGGTCCTTGCTCCCTGCATGATCAGGATTCATCATCACTGTACTAAGTAAGTGGAAACGTTTTAAACTTATTATTCTATCATTAATTTTTTACATCAGAAGGAGACAGTACGATCACCAGTGCAATGACATATTTATTTATAGTTTATTCAGTGACGCAGTTTCTGTAGCTCATACCATGTAACATTGAATGAGAGGATGATAATGAATAATGAATTGTAAATGAAGGAAACATTGACCTGGAATTAACTAACTAACTAGATGGCTTACCGAACCCGAAGGTTCATCACCGAATTAACCAAAGCCCTCCACCGGACCCTGTCCTGGGCCAACAAAATCCAGTTTCCTTCAACTCCTATCTCCCATAGATCCCACCTGAGATTATCCTCCCATCTACGTCTAGGTTTCCCCAGCGGTCTCTTCCCCTCAGGCTTTCCAACCAATACCCAATGCACACCCCTTGGCCCATCCATGCGTGCTACATTCCCCGTCTATTTCATTCATTTTGACTTAATCACCCTGAAAATATTGTGTTTACGTGATTGAAGGTAATTCTAATAATTGCCAAATGTAAGAGATTGATTACAATAATTGGCTTCCTAATTTTTGTTTTGAACATTATGGGAAAATCTTACTAGAAGAAGAGATAGGATGGTGGGACACATTTTGAGACACCCAGGATTGGTTAATTTGGTAATGGAAGGGAAGAATTGTAGGGGGAGACAAAGATTGGAATATGTGACGCAGATTTTTGAGGATGTGGGCTGTAAAAAATATGTGGAAATGAAGAGGCTGGCACAAGATAGACAAAAATGGAGGACTGCATCAAAGCAGCCGGAAGACTGATGACAAAGAGAGAGAAATGAAGGAAGCGGTCATGCATAATTTAAGGTAGTATCTCAGCATTTACCTTGAAGGACTGAGAAAAACTGCAAACACTTCAGTCAGGATAGGCAGTCTCCAGGCTGAGATTTCAACCCAGGACTTCCCACATATGAAGCAGGAGTCTAACCACTCAAAAATGACATTTGGTAGCAATGACATAAAAGCAGGGATTTGAATGTAATGGTGCCCACAGACTGAAACATGTTGTTCTAGTGAATGGACAATGAGCCGTGTGTGCAAGTGACAAGTAAGAAAAACCAAGAATTAGCGTAGAGGGTTATGTAAGTTCCAACATTTTTTTTTACCACGGAGCTTATGTTACCTGAAAACAAAGACTGAATAAGATGTTGCGCCCCTTTGTTTTATGGAATAAACATAGGACAATTTTGCTAACAAACTGTGAAATGAGTTTGTATGCTGAGTAGCAATCCAGTATCATGCACTTCTCTTCTAAGCAGCGGTTAGATAGTTCGATAGTTCATATTCATTGTGTTCAAAACGGTTTGCAGTTACACACAGTGTTATTCCCTACCCACGTGAGAATGAAAGTCGGTAAAATCAGTGGCAGTGATCCAGACTATGAGCACAGGCGTGTTTCTGACTTTTCTTATTCAGGTGGTGTTGTTGGTTTAAAAGAATTACAAGTGTTTTCTACTGATGATAACAGTTTGGAAGGAATTGTGATACTCCTCTTGCTACATTAAGCAAGCATACACTCTGTTCATACAGATGACAATTTTCAAGCTAGAAAATCTAATCCATTATTCATGCAAAAATTTAAATCAGTGCTTATCAGAATTAGAGACATTCCACGGAGTGTTTCACAGTATTAGAGGAAAGCTTGCTGTATAGGCACTTGCACATCATACTAAATAGGTATTGGTGTACAGTATTTGTTTTGTGTTTTTATGACATATTTTGTGTCACATAAATTCATATTGGAGTTCTTAAAATAGGTCCATAAAAGTCTCTGTACGGGAGGATATGAACCTACTGCAGGCATCCTATAAGCAGCAAAGAACCTGTCACTATTGTCCTCCTTGAGAGATAAGAGTCTACTGGGTAACTTAGGACAAGTGTTGCACACAGTTATCGGTATCTATTAAACCATATTATTGCTGACTTTCTTGTTGATCAACGGAATCCATATGGGCGAAATTTCCAAACTGGACTGACTAATGGGGTTCGCCAATCACGCCATGTGAGCTGATTCTTTGTACTTTCTATAAGTACTGTTTCTTTCGATTTGAAGAAACTTGACGTTCCAACTTATCCGATGGTCCTCTTCGTAAGCGTGTTTGGCCAGTCTTGATTTCATCATCATGCTTTCCTTCATGACAAATTAATGAAAAATTCCTTCCAAACAGTTTCATCCCTTTATTTTCCTCCCATTGTCTCGTACTTTATCAAACATATTTTAATGCCAAAAAAGTAATGGTAAGGTGTTTACAACACTTTGGTTGTTACTATAGCTGGGATCAAACTGAATTTATTGTCTGCACCACTGTCTTGCATGTATAAGAAGACAAATTCATTTACTACATAATCCAAACACTTATTGACCCAGGAGGTGAGTCAGCGAGCTACAAAGTACTGTTGCCAGGAAATAATTTTTATAGTATGGGCAGTATATGCTTTCTTATCTGCCATCCTTTCCCACTCATCTGGTTATTCAATGCTGAGTAAACTGACTTATTTGAAGTATAATTTAATAAACCCTAAATAAATAATTTATTCTCTAATTTTTATTAATGGATGATGTGTTTATTTCTCTGATCCTGAAATATATTAAGTGGGGTTGCTTGTGCAGATGCGCCACACACAGTGGGGAACATAAAGCTGGTGGTGTCCGCAGTTGGAGGGGCTGTTCCAGCAGCCATCACAGAGACCGTTGAATGTGAAATGGTCTTACATAGTATCAGACATCGCAGCACACAAGCTGACTCTGCTGTACCATTTGACA